GAGTGGATGTTTATCTTCTTGCCCCAACCCGGAGCCGATCTGAAGGCGGATGATATGAATGCCACCAACGAGGAGTACGTGGCGCGTGCGAAGAAGGTGATTGGTGATGAAAATATTGAGGTAACGCTGCTGCATGCGAGCAAGTGGTGGATTAACGAGGTGGTGGCGGAGCGTTATTCTGATGGTGGAAATGTCTTCTGCTTTGGCGATGCGACGCATCGGCATCCGCCGTTTAACGGGTTGGGAAGCAATACCTGCATCCAAGACGCTTTCAACTTGGCGTGGAAGATCGACTATGTCATGTCCGGCAAGGCGGGCAAGGAGCTGCTGAACAGTTTCGACCAGGAGAGGCAGCCGGTAGGCGTGGATATCGTCACCAGGGCGAATCAAGGGTTGCGCGACCATTTCGAGTGGCAGAAGACGCTGGGCTTGCTGGAGGACGACAAGGAGAAGGTGAAGGAGATCTTGGCCGAGTTTGAGGACCCTGGTGAGAAGGGTCGCCTGAGAAGGAAGGCGTTCCGCGACGGTATCGAGAACACAACGACCGAGTTCCATGGTTTGGGCATTGAGATGAACCAGAAATATGTCTCAAACGCGGTTTATCTAGAGGACCAGGGAGAGGCACCGCCTGCGCCCAAGGACACGGTCAGGACGCTCCAGGTTACTACGTATCCCGGACGCAGGCTGCCGCATGCTTGGTTGAACACACGGGTGCCTGGGAAGAAGATCTCGACCATTGACTTGGCGGGACATCGGCGGTTCTGTTTACTTACCGGACCAGGCGGACAGGCGTGGAAGGACGCGGCGAAGGCGGTCGGGGAGAAGTTGGGTGTCGAGGTTGTCGCATACTCGATTGGGTGGAAGCAGGATTACGAGGATGTGTACTTTGACTGGGCAGAAAGGAGAGAGGTGGAGGATGACGGGTGTGTCTTGGTGAGGCCGGATCGGTTTGTGGCATGGAGGAGTCAGTCGGTGATTGAGAAGCCGGAGGTGAAGCTCGAAGAGGTTTTGAGGAGTGTTTTGTCGCTATAAGCCTTTGGATATAATCAAGCGTCATTGTCGTTGCCTCCTGCCGCATCTCGGGTTTCTGTGGCCCGTCGTACGGATCATGTCTTGTCTCGCTGTATCTCCGTACATATTGCGGCACAAAGTTGCAGCCGGGAGTGTTCTGTGACTGCAACACCATCCTCAGCCAATATTGATGCCGGCACTCGAATCTCATCACGCGTCTGTCGTTGGTGAGTGGTGAGTGGTGATGGAGGAAAAGTGAAACAGAGTGCCAATAGCCGTTGCGGATGTCACCCTCGCATTCTTCCAATCCTTGCGACAGAACATCATCGTGGTGGTGGTTGCGTCGTCGCATCGGAGTCGAATTGGTTAGCCATCCACCGCATCTCGATATTCGCTGGGCGCACAAGTTGGGCACCGAATGTTTTTGTTGGCGCAAGGCTCGGCATGATAAAGGGAAAAAAAGCCTGATCCCATGACTGCGGAAAACCAATGATTATCGTCGTGGTTTCTTGGTGAAGACTGGCACAACTGAGGAGAAAGCGTCATTGGTGAAGTTTTGGGTGACTGGCATGCTGTGACATGCCTTGCGAAATGACGTAGAGGGTGGTTGGTCACCTTCCATCGGGGGGTGAGCTCCTTACACTAGCAGAGTATGGTGAACATCTCGATAGACAACTGTTAGCAATGACATGGCGGTTAAGGTCCCGGCCATCCAATCATTCCCCGGCTATTTCTCTTGGCACCGACGTCAGAATAGGCACGCATTAGCCCTCGGGAAGAATCCACAGGGATTCGATGAAGGGTCTTTCATTTCTTCTTATTCATCATTAGTTTGCTGGGACGAAGACATCAACGGCATATAGATGGTTCAATGCATTGGTTGCCCCTCCCGAAGACACCACCCATCACCCCGGTTGCACGGCAGACAAGCGGGAAAGGGACTGGTGACGGGAGACTTGGCAAACATGGCAAGCATAGCACCTTACAAGGCAGGAATGATGGATGATGGGTGCTGGCCAGTTGTGTATGGTCAATTGCGCTGCAACGAACGTCACATTCCACCAAATTTCCATGGACGAGGAAGGAGCTCTCGTTGGTGACTGGTCAGGAGGAGCCTATCAATGACGGTGGGAGGACAGGAAAGGTCAGGCAGACAGTCAGGGAAAGAACCAAGCCTGAGATGAGGCAGACAATGACAAGTGAATGGGCAACTATGGTAACCACCTTGCTCATTCCCTGGCAGTTCTTCTTCCCACTTCCATCCATTCCATTCAACAGTCCAGATTTAAGACCATCCTTCCCCTCCCACTCCCACTTACTCCTCTTGCTTCGACAGTGTTTATTTGCAACAACAACAACAACAACAACAACGCAGGGCGGCCAGCCATTACCATCATAGCCCACCGCACCAGACACATATCAACAAAGATCAATACCTATTCACCTTACAACCATAATCGCAATCTAAAAAACCCCACGTCAAATCAATCACAATGGCCTTCGGACGCAGTCCCCGCACCACTCACACGACGACCACCACCCACGGCGGCACCCACCACGCCGACCGCCGGGGCGTCTTCCACCCGATCCTGACACTCAGCAACATCCTGATTTGGCTCTCGTCCGTCATCGTCCTGGGCATCTCGGCCTACGAGATCCACCAGATCAAGAAGTACGCCGGCTCGCACGTGTACCCGGGCAACCGGCTGGTGTACATCCTGGTCATCGCCGTCCTCACCGTCGCCTTCTTCTTGCTCTCGTTCCTGCTCCACCCCCGCCCCAGCTACAGCTTGCTGTTCAACCTCATTTTCAGTTACCTCTGGCTGGTCTCGGTTGTGTTTGCTGCTGAGAACTACTCGAGCCGTTATGTCCCGAACATCTGGCATGCTCTGGAGGCTTTTACTTTTATTGCTTTGTAAGGTTGCCCTGCTACTTTCCATGGCAGTGTTTTGTATGCTTATGACGGTATGCTAATGATGTTGCAATTGTAGCTTCGGTCTGGTGTTCAACATCCTGTACACTTGGTGGCAGTGGCACCGCGCTGCTCCCCGCACTGCTGTTGTCGCCTAAACGGTCTAAGCTCGTTTCCTGAGGTGACGGGGTTTTGCTGCTGTGCCCATGGACAGAGGACAAACGTCGCAGCAAACGAACAAAAGGACGCCACTGCCGATGCAGTTACCCGTACGACATGATAAGACACTGTATCTGGAAGGATTCGGATGACGCGCGGTGGAAGTGGGAGACGGATTTGAAGAACTTGATAGGGCCTAGATGGTCTTTGTTACTACTTAATGATATTGGACTGGAGACGACGGAGAGGAATGCTTTTTTTTTTATACCCAATACCCCTAATACCCTATGTTAGCAAGCCGATGGCGGAGGATGGCAGCAGGATGATGGAGTAACGGCTGATGATACGGATACCGTTTCTAATGAAAATCTCATTCTCTTTCCATGAACGTCCACGAAGTCGCCCTATGCTGAAAAATGTCCGCGACTCTGAAAGTGCATTGTCGCCCCATGTTCTCCTAACCACCCAATGTGATGTCGGCACTTGCCCGTTGCCATACAGCGAGCCGCTGTTTCATCGAACCTCTCGTGCTCGTTGAGGTCCCGCAAGAAGCTCTCATCTGTCGTTCTCCTAAAGACATCAAGCGGACGTTCGTTCTTCAGCTGCTCACCCTCATCATACCTTATCTCCCTCCTAAACATTTCATCCCATGTCCTCCTCCCCTGCCGTGTCTCCTGGGTGGCCATAAGACCCCCTATAACACGGGCTAATGAGAGGTATATGAATTACTTCCATAGCACTAATTCCAACACCTCCCAAGACAGGCAGGCCGCGACCTCCCGGGGCTGAATAGTGCAGTGGTTAAGTGGAACAGTACTTTCATCGACTCTGCCCTCACACAGTCTGAGCCTTGACGAGTAAACTGAAACATAAGGCGTTCGAACCAGTGGAATAGCTGCTGTCTTGTCTTCTTCTTTTTTTTCTTTTTTTTTTTTTTTTTTTTTTTTTTTTTTTTTTTTTTTTTTTTTTTTTTTTTTTTTTTTTTTTCTCTGTTTAGGTACCTTTGAAAAACCGAGTTGGGCCTATTATTACGAACATTTTCGCTTGGCGTCTTCGTTCTTGTCGTCGGTTCTTTCTTGGAGTTCACTGGTAAGTAGCGATGTGAGTGGTTTTCGCAAAATGGAAGCCCGGGGACTGCCAAACATGGTTTGAACGATGCTGAAAACGGTAATACCAAAGTTTCTTCTGGGGTAGTGGCGCTGCTGATGTTCAATCCGGCCCGAACTTTGGGAAGCTTTGAAGGCAAAACGGAAATTTCCAAGGCACCTACCTGTCAGGTTTGGCGAGGGGCGTCAGGGTAAGGGTTTTGTATGGGATCATTTCTCTTACCTTTTGGCCTGTTATCGCATTCGTTGTGAAAATCTTTTCCAGTTTCTTTCTTCTTGCTTTCGCGCTTTGGATGCTGCATCCCCCGTTCCTTCTGATGATGAGGATGGGTGATGATGGTCTCGGACTTGAAAGATGCCGGACTCGGAGAAGGTGGGTGACTGGATTTTAGAACCGTTGGCAGGGTTGGTTGAATTCACAGAAAGAGAATTTGGCAAGCAACCGCGGCACGGTGCAGATAAACGAATGGGGCCTTTTTTTGTCTCCTTCTTTTTTTTTTTCCCTCAAGGATAAGCTGATATACACACTAGTAGACAAGAACAAACCCCCACTCATGTTCCGTCCTCACGCCATCTCCATGCATTCTCGCCCGTTGGAATTTCAGGTTGGACGATTCGACCCGTATGTGCCTGCCAGTCGACCAGTCGCCCTGATTTGCTCTGCATGTTGGCACAACGCTATCATTGCCGTGTCTTTCTTCCTTCCTTCCTTCCCTCGCCCGTTCCTTCCTTGTTCACCTCCTTGGCTGCATTGGTACCCAGATACTTAAGGTACCACTCCCGAGACCCTTCGCAACACAGAACCAAGGAAAGCGCGGTTAGCGCAGTGGTCTAACGCATCACTCGATTTGTGGGTTGAAATTCCCAGAGAACCTCTGTCCAAAAGACCGACTGACTGTGGGGGCAGAAATTTCAGTAGAACAGCAAATACTGAGTGACTCAAAGACCCGGGTTCGAATCCCGGACCGCGCAAATCTCTGTTTTTTTTTTCTCCATCGTCATCTTTTGGACTTTTCTTTGCCCCCGGATGATGGCTTCGATTTATGCTTCTTTCTAGCTCTAGCGGTAAGTGAGACCGCAGACGTCAGTCATTCCCCAAAGGCTTCCACTCCCGATCGTAGAGCATGGATATCCAGTAGAAATCATCCCCAACATCGAATCTCTCGCGAACGTGTTTCATGCGTGTGACTATATCATCAGTTGTCAGTTGTCAAATCTCCAACTTTCCATGTTTGAGACCAACAAACAAACAAACAAACAAACAAGTCCCGACTTACCTCGCACAGAATCCCTAATCATATCCCCCGTCTTCCACACAAAATTCAGCTGCTCCTCACTTAAACTAGCCGCCTTCGAAAGCTCATGCCTCCCCGCCTCATCGTGTGGGATATCAAACGGCAACACGCCCTTGTTGATAAAGTGGAAATGTGCAAGCATCGTCTGGGCTCCGGCGTGGTGGGCTTTGATGCTCTCGGGGTTTGCGTACTCGTTCTTTTTTTGCGTGAAATCAGTTTCATCAGTATCAGGCATATCGAATATGATTGATAGTCGAAGGTGAGTGACATAACATACCCTCATCCCCCATTTCCTAGCCGTCTCCGCATCCCGTCTCGTCACCATCGAGCAACTATGCAGCAATACGAACAGGGCAAGGTAGATGGTGAACCAGTACTCCCGCTTCTTGGCCAGGACCAGGTCGTTGAGCTGTTTGAGCACCGCCTTACTCCAGGGGCGCAGGAAATTGGTGTACTCGATGCACTCGAACTGCGCCGTCATGATCTTGGGCATCGGTACGCGGCCGAAGTACTTGCTTTCTGGGTCGTTAATGGGATTTCCGTCGAGGGTTTCCGGACCGCGGATGAAGACGGGGTTGCTGGTTAGGCGGCAGACGACCCAGAGACGGAAGACGTTGGACATGAGGCTGCGTTCTTGTTCGGTCTGTTTTGTGTTGGTTGGGGCAAACTAGTCAATTTCGGCGTGAAATTTGTCGGGAATGAGAACAGGACGTACATTCGCCTCGTCAATATGTCGAAAGGCCATCCCGTATGTTTCCCAAAATATCGTATCCAAGTGTCCAACTGTCGCCACGATAAATTTGGACACGCTCGTCTCGATGTAGGCCTTCAGGGTCTCGCCTGCTTCGTGCATCTCTGCTAGTGCGTAGCGCGGTAGAGCGACCTGTTTCATGCCTTGGGGCGTCTTCCACATTTCGTGAACGACGTCACCTTCGACGGGATTGAACTTTCTGACACGGAACTCGAAGGGGGCGTCAACATGGACTGGCGATACTGCGATCGTCCGAATGTCTGGGGATGCCCAATCGCTGGCGGGAATGTCGATGATGTCCATGCTCTGCCATCGATGCGAAAAGGATGGCCGTTTCTGCTCGCGGTATAGAGAAGCGTCGGTGACGATATAGCGGTAGCAGGGCATCTTGCAGAGGGTCGGGCCGGTAATGCGCTTGCAGGTGAGACATGGTCCGTCAAGATCCGATGGATCGGGATTGCACTGTCATCGAGGGGACTTGGTGTTAGCATGGAGGGCACTGCAGTTCGTCATGTTTGGCCGCTTTGACGGATAATGAAGGATTGGAAGTCCATACACGACCCCTGTTCATCCTACACCGGATGCACGACTTGAGCACACGAGTGAGAGCGGTGTTCTGTCTCATACTCTCGTCGGTATACGGACCTCGTCGTTTGGTTCTAGCTTTGCTTCCTTGACTTGGCTCGGGTTTGGGTTTTGAGACTCCATTGTTGTTTTGAAGGGGTTTGATCTTCTTTCTTCGTTGAATTCGCTGGATGGCATTCCTGGTCAGTAAGTGTTCTTGGATTGAGCACTAAGAAGACATACCGGAGGGAGCTTCCAATCTTTGGTAACTGGGCCCGAGAATGCAGGAGTTGGCTCCACGGCTGCCTCTGGGGCTCGGGGAACCCCAACCCGGTCATGCACTGTCATCGCCGGAGGCTGACATGTCTCAGTTTCGGCGAATGCGTCGTCAAGTTCTTGTAAAAAGTCCGACGGTGTGTGATACTCGATGACAGGCTGCTCTTTAACCATCGTTGTCAATTCATTTTGACAATGATAGGACGCTGTTAGCGACACTGGCGTGGCCAGGCCGAGAGAGTAGAAAGGACTCTCGGAAAGAAGGCTTGTGGCATCGTCGAATGCTGGCAAGTTGGAGATGCTGAGAAACGAGTCGACATCGCTTGGCGTGGACATGTTGAACGTCAGCAGTGGCTCAGGGGTGCTGACGCCCGAGCGGGAGTCGGGAATAAGACAAATCTCGGGTACCAAGCCCCGGGCATGATGGGGTTGGGTGTTTCCATTTGTAGGACGAGCCATGGGATTTTCTGTTTCGGGGGTAGCGTAAGCGTCGAAAGTGGGAAAGCCTTGGTTGACATGGGGGATCTGGGTATCGAAGATATCTCTCGCATCAAGACCGAAGGAAGGCTCTTCGTATGACCACCGTTTGGCAACAGAGGGGTAAGGGGTGGCGCGAACGGGTTCGCAGTTCAGGTCTTCCGAGGTCGAGAACCAGGATACAGCAAGGTCTTGGTCAGGTATCGAGCTGTAGTGTTCCACAAGAGCCATCATCATCTTGTTGTGGCTGAGATCGCTGAGACAAACATCCACAGATTCCATTGCTCCTTGTTCCATGGCGCACCAAAGCTTCCTTGAAATTAGGGGTCATGGATGGAGGATGATATATGTCGAGGCCAGACTTTTGTCGAAGATGTTTGTTGTCGTGTTGATGGAAGCCGAGCTCATATCTGGGGATGGACGGTTGCATGAGTGCTACCCTTCCACAGTGGCTTGGAGCTTGGAAGCATTTTACTGGTGAGATTGGCTTCCATTGAGGCTGAGATAGCGACGGTTGTCCAGCACTTCATTACCTATCGGTAATCGCCGACAGCCCGATGGTATCTCGGTGGTTGGGCGTTGGAGTTATCAGGCCACTGACAGTGTTGTATGTAGGCGGAACTATCAAGGTGAGCATGGCCTTGTAGGATTCCATCCCACGAATTGATAGGGCGACGCTCTGATTGGTGCGTGACCGAATTTAGTAAAACCCCGACAGAAGAGCCTCATCACGATGGTTCCAAAACGTCGGCCGTTCCGAATATTGATTTCTTCTTATGTAACGTTGAATAAGGGGTTAAATATCCGACTGCCAGGACTCATAGCTTTGCCATAGGGTGTAGTTAACGTGTAAGCCGCACGAAGGTGTACCCTTCCCTTCCGGACTTGTCATCCAAGTGGCAGTGTATTTGACGATGAAGTCGTTTGGCGGTGAACAAAAGTCGTCAATGGCCCTAGCCGCCCATCAATGCGACCCTATAGTTACGTTCAGCAACTGATCCCGTCCGGAAGGTGGCCGACAGGGCTGCAGGGGTAGCTGCTTCGCCATTCTCGCAGGGTGAACCCCTGGCGACTTGGTTAACCTTATATCAAGCTTGTCATGATGATTCCGTCGACATTCTCCAGCTGGAAGTGATATAAATGCGATTAAAAGAGTGGATGAAAGAAACAGACCAAAGGAGAAAAGGTAAGTTGGCAAGGACATGTTCCCAAGGTGGCTACCATGAAGAACCCTCGGTCAAGGGCATAAACGCGGACGCGGCGTGCTAAAGGTCAATTAGACAACCACTTGATGGTTTTATCCAAGAGACATTCAGATGGAGTTTTGATCCTTTTTGTTGACGTGTGGTGAAAGATGGAAATGGAAAGGAACAATTGAAATGTTTTGAACGAGGAATTGTTAGTGTAATGGGGCCAAGCAGTCCACAGACCACGTGGTGTTTCTTAAAAGCTCATGTCAGAACCTCGACCTCCAGCCCACGACCAGGTTCAAGAGCCTGAGCCATGATAATGAGGCCTGGAGAGCAGATCTTGAAGTTGATAAACCGGTCACGAATACCAACTCTGATGACGTTTTTACGTTATGGTGAGTGTTGTGAGGACCATGGTCGCCAACCATATATCTTAGCAGCTAATCGATAAGAGCTCCAAGTATCGATGACGTAGTGCTCCACCTCAACATCAACATTACCTTCCACTTAGCACTCGGCGCGGGGCCCAACAACAAAGATCAAAAAAGAGGAGGGACGATGACGATGGGTTGATGTTAGCGTCATGAGAAGCCTGGCGGACAGGGCAAGAGCTCAGCTTCACCTTCCCCATTTGGCACCACGCTTTTGCCTGACGTCGTGGAGGTCATCCATGTTCTCTCCTCTTGGTGGGCAGCTATAAAAGTTCCCGGTAGTAACCCCTTCCGAGAGCCCACCCCCCATAAACTCTGGCTATTCTAATTCTCCATCTTTCAGCATTCTTTAAACACAAAAAGCACACCCATTGATACCTTGCTTACCCAGATACCCACGACGACTTAATAATACAGCAACACTAACAGGAACACAACATGGCGACCTCTCAACTAGCCTACGGCGTCGAAAAGCTCGTCGGCAATGGCCCCGAGCAAATCAAGCAGGACATCTCCACCTACAATTCCCCAGAAACCGGCGATGCCTCCCACCTCATGAAGGCTCTCGCCTGGGAGGGTTCCAAAAAGGTCGCAGTCGTCCAAGTCCCAAAGCCCAAGATCGTCGAGCCCACCGATGTCATCCTCAAGGTCACCGGCTCGACCATTTGCGGCTCTGACCTCCATCTCTTCCACGGCGTCGTCATGCAGATGAACAAGGGTGACATCCTTGGTCACGAGTTCTGCGGTATCGTCGAGCAGGCCGGCCCGGCCGTCAAGAAGGCCCAGGTCGGCAAGCGCTATGTCGTCTCTTTCCAGATTGCCTGCGGCCACTGCTTCTTCTGCAAGAACAAGCTCTCTTCCCAGTGCGAGGTCACCAACTCGAATTCCCAGATGAAGGCCATGTACGGCGGCCGCACCGCCGGCATCTTTGGCTACTCTCACCTGACGGGAGGTTTCGCCGGTGGTCAGGCCGAGTATGTCCGTGTGC